CAGTGTGCATCGTTTTATTGTTAACGCAACCTTCGGGAAGTCGTCACAAGCGAGGTAAACAGACCAGGTAGACAGACAGGTAAACGAACCAGGTAGACAGACAGGTAAACAGACAGGTAGAACCAGACAGTAAATCAGACAGGTAAACAGACAGTAGACCAGACAGTTGAGAGCCCAGAGCAGGTAACAGCAGACAGGTAGACCAAGCAGGTAGACATACGGGTACCCAGAACAGTAGACAGACAGGGTAAAACAGACAGGTAAACAACAGGGTAGAACAGAAACAGGTAAAACAACAGGTAGAACAAGACAGGTAAACAGAAGAGGTAAAGCAGACACGGTAGACAGACACGCGAAAACACAGACAGGTAACACAAGAACAGGGTAACAGACCCAGGTTAACAGAGCAGTTAGACAGACAGCTTAGAACAGACAGCGTAGACAGACCCAGGTAAAGCAGACAGGGTAGACAGACAGGTAGACAGAAACCAGTTAGCAGGACAGGTAAACAGACGAGGTAGACAGACAGGTAACACAGAGCCCCAGGTAAAACAGACCAGTTTTAGACCCAGACAGTGCTAAACCGAACAGTTAGACAGACAGGTAAACAGACAGGTAAACGAAGACCAGGTAGGACAAGACAGGTTTCCAGTTCCCGCTCACCCCTGCCGAAACAGCAAAGCACGCTTGATGTGTCTCCCTCTGGCTCTCCCTCTGCTGCCTCGATTATAACTCGGCTCCCCTGAGCAGAGCACAGCTCCATGTTCTCCTGCTCCTCCCTCACCTCTTCCTTCCCTCCTCCTCTCCTCTCTCCTCTCCTCTCCTCAAACCAAGCCGCTCCTTCTCCTGATTCCCCTGCAGGAAGACACCGGACACACAGTGATCCGTTATTATTAATTATTGATTATTATTATTATTATTTCATCTATTATCTGTCTATTATGTCATTTATTATCATCTATTATTATTATCTGCTGCAGACTGCTCAAGTTCTACAAGAACTTGCATAAAACCAACAACAATGAAACCCCGGTCTTTTCTAATGTTTGTAAAATGTGAAAAGGCTTCGCAAAATTTTATTGTTTTATCATTATTATCCTTATTATGTAGCTAAGAATGCTGTTACTAATATTCATATTATTTTTATGTTCATTACTCGTACCTTAGTTATAATAATATTTAGGCTGTCCTTTGATAAATGCAGATGTTTTTATACACTGTTGAGTTTTCTTACTGCGTTTAATTTGTCACCTAATTTACATGATTTTAAGAAAAGCTTTGAACCAGCATCCAAACTTAAAAGTAAATAAACAGTAAATATCTGGCAGTCCATTTTAATGATTTATTTCACCAGTTACAGATTTTTTTATTTCTATCGTAGTTTAAAACATCGAAAAAGACATCTGAACCGGTACAAACCCACTCGTAACAGATTATTCAATTACAGTGCGCATGTTGTGAGCCCCCAAACCCAGGTAACAGCAGCTGTGTGTTAAGGTGTGGTAAGTTTAGTCGTGTGCTTAGTTAGTGTGTTAGTTACGTGTGTGTTAGTGTGTGTTAGTTAGATGTGTGTCTTAGTTAGTGTGCTGTAGTGTGTGTTAGTTAGTCGTGTGATTAGTAGTGTGTTAGTTAGGTGTGTGTTAATGTGTGTTAGTTAGTGTGTGTTAGCTTAGTGTGTGTTAAGTTACGTGTGTGTTATCTGTGTCTAAGTTAAGTGTGTGTTAGTTAGTTGTGTGTTTGTGTGTGTTTAGTTAGTGTGTGTTAGGTTAGTGGTGTGTTAGTGTGTGTTAGTTAGTGTGTGTTAGTGTGGTGTTAGTTACGTGTGTTTAGTTTAGTGTGTGTTAGCTGTGTTTAGTTAGTGTCGTGTTAGTGTGTGTTAGTTAGTGTGTTTGTTAAGTGTGTCTAGTTAGTGTAGTGGTTAGTGTGTGTACGTAGTGCTTCAGTTAGTGTGTGTCTTAGTTAGTGTGTGTTAGTTAGTGTGTGTTAGTGTGTGTTAGTTAGTGTGTGTTAGTGTGTGTTGTTGGTGTGTTAGTGTGTGTTAGTAGTGTGTGTTAGTGCGGTTAGTAGTGTGCGTTAGTGTGTGTTAGTCGGTGTAGTGTGTGTTAGTGTGTGTTAGTGTGTTAGTTTAGTGTGTGTTTAGTGTGTTAGTGTTGTTAGTTAGTGTGTTTAGTGTGTGTTGAGCTTAGTGTGTGTATTTAGTTGTGTGTTATTGTGTGTCAGTTACGTGTGTTAGCTGTGTTTAGTGTGTGTTCACCGTTAAGCGTGTGTGGTTAGTTACGTGTGTGTTAGTGTGTGTTAGTGTGTTAGGTTAGTGTGTTAGTGTGTTGTTAGTGGTGTGTTAGTTATGTGTAGTGTAGTGTGTGTTAGTTAGTGTGTTAGTTAGTGTGTGGTTAGTGTGTGTTAGTTATGTGTTAGTTAGTGTGTTCGTTTAAGTCTGTGTTAGTTTAGTGTGTTAGTGTGTGCGTTAGTTAGGTGTGTTAGTTGTGTTAGTTTGTGTGTGTTAGTGTGTTTTCAGTTAGTGTGTGTTAAGTTAGTGTGTGTTAGTGGTGTGGTTAGTGTGTGTTAGTCCTGTGTTAGTGTTGCTGTGTTAGTTGTGTTAGTAGTGTGTTAGTAAATGTGTTGTAGTTTAGTGGTGTTGTTAGTTAGTGTGTGTTAGTGTGTGTTATGCTGTGTGTTACTGTGTGTTTTAGTTAAAAGTGTGTTAAGTAGTGTGGAGTTTAGTGTGTTAGTTAGTGGTTTTAGTTAGTGTGTTCAGTTAGTGTTGTTTAGTTAGTGTGTAGTGTGTGTTTAGTCTGTGTTAGTTGTGTGTTAGTTAGTGTGTGTTAGTGTGTTAGTGTGTGTTTAGTTAGTGTGTGTTAGTGTGTGTTAGTTACGTGTATTAGCTAGTGTGTGTTAGTTAGCTGGTGTGTTGAGTGCGTGTGTTTAGTTATTGTGTGCTTAGTGTGTGTTAAGTGTGTGTTAGTTAGTGTGTTAGTGGTGTGTTAGTGTCCGTGTTAGTTACGTGCTCGTGCTTCAGTGTGTGTTAGTTAGTGGTGTGTTACCGTTAAACGTGTGTGTTAAGTCGTGTGTTATTAGTGTGTTAGTGTGTGTCTAACGTTAGTGTGTGTTATAGTTAGTGTGTTTAGTGTGTGTTACGTTACGTGTGTGTTAGTTGTGTGTTAGTTTTAGGGTGTGGTGTTAGCTCTTAGTGTCGTAGTTAAGTGTGTGTTAGTTAGTTGTGTTAGTGCTGTTAGTTAGTGTGTGTTTAGTTAGCTGTGTGTTAGTGTGTGTTAGTTAGTGTGGTGCTTAGTTACCGGCTGTGTTTAGTTAGTGTGTGGTAGTGTGGTTAAGTAGTGTGTGTTATTAGTGTGTGTTAGTTGTGTGTAAGTGTGTGTTAGTTAGTGTGTGCGTTTTAAGTGGTGTTAGTGCGTGTTTAGTTAGTGTGTTAGTTAGTGTGTCGTTAGTTAGTTGGTGTGTTAGTTAATGTCGGTGTTAGTCTAGTGTGCGTTAGTTAGCCTGTGTGTTAGTGTGTGTTAGTTAGTGTGTTCAGTCTGTGTTTAGTCTGTGCTTTAGTGTGTGTTAGTCTGTGTGTTTAAGTGTGTGTTAGTCTGTGTTCGAGTGTGTGGTTAGTTAGTGCTGTTATGTGTGTTAGTTAGTGTGTTGTGTGTGTTAAGTTAGTGGTGGTTAGTGTGTGTTAGTTAGTCGTGTTAGTGTGTGTTAGTGTGTGTTAGTTAGGGCGTGTGTTACGTGTGATCTACGTTAGTGTGTGTTAGTTAGTGTGTGTTGTGTGTGTTACGTGTGTTAGTTAGTGTGTGTTAGTGTGTGTTAACGTCTGTGTTAAGTCGTGTGTTAGCTCTAGTGTGTTAGTTAGTGTAGTTATTTAGTGGTGTGTTAGTTAGTGTGTTAAGTGAGTGTGTTGTTACGTGTGTGTTTTAGTTACGTGTGTTAGTGTAGGTGTGTGCTTGTTAGTGGATGTTAAGTGTGTGTTAGTCTGTGTTAGTGGTGTGTTAGTTTAGTGTGTGTTAGTGGTTAGTGTGTGTTTGTTAGTGTGTGTTAGTTAGTGTGTCTAGTGTGTGTCAGTTATGTCGTGTTAGTTAGTGTGTGTTAGTTAGTGTTGTTAGTGTTGTGTTAGTTTCGTTGTGTGTTAGTTAGTGAGGTGTTATGTGTGTTATTAGGTGTGTGTTAGTTAGTCGTGCTTAGTTGTGTGTTAGTTAGTGTGTGTTAGTTTAGTGTGTTACGTTAGTGTGTGCTTCAGTTTAGTGTGTAGTGTGGTCTAGTCTGTGTTAGTGTGTGTTTAGTTATGTGTGTTAGTGATGTTAGTGTGTGTTTGTTAGCTGTTGTTAGTAGTGTTAGTGTGTGCAGTTAGTGTGTGTTAGTTTAGTGTGTGTCTTAGTTTGTGCTGTGTTAGTCCGTGTGTTAGTTAGTGTGCTGTTAGTTAGTGTGGTTAGTGTGTGTTAAGTTAGTTGCGTGTTAGTGTGTGTTAAGTGTGTGTTACGTTAGTGTGTGTTAGTTACGGTGTGTGTTAGTTTTACCCTCCAGGCCAGCTCCCGCACTGGGAAAGTCACACCAGACAGCAGCAGGAGCAGGACATCCTGTTGGCATCCAAACACCTGCTGCAGGTGTCAGTACACCCGCCCGCCTCCTCGCCTGCCAGCACGCTGGACCTCACCGGTGCGTTTAAAACCCGGACAACCAAAACCTCCCCTTAAATCCACAAAGTACATGGATCCACAGTAATGGATCCAGATGCCCAGGAAACCTGCAAGAAACAGAAGAGGTTAGAGGAGGAGTGGGAGGGGGGAGGAAGGGAAGTAGTGGACGTGCTTCCTGCTGTGGTTACCTTGCTCAGCGTAGGAAACTGGACTGAATGGAACCACACCACCAACACAGCACAACACACACACCCACCACACACATCACAGAGTCAGCCGGACTAACCTGTGAGGAAGAGTTTCTAACAGTATGGACTCGTGTACCAACGTTTGTATCAAACTGCGACTAACAAACAAACAAACTCAAACTAAACCTTCATTTTCTTTATTGGCTCCATCAACATGAGACAATCACAGGGAACTCAACGTTAACATGAAATGAATTTAAATAAAGTTTCACTTTAAATCAGTTTACACACAGAGAGAAAACGTATTGCTGTCTTTAAAACACAACAACTTCCTTTGGTTTGTTCCACAAACGGTCAGACAACCAGTGATTTCATTTAGAAAACAATATTTATCCATTCAGAGAGAAAATAAAAAGAAACAGCAGACGAATTAGTCTGAAAAGTGCTGCTTTGTTCCAGCTGAAGAAGCTTTCAACGAACATTTTAGTGTCACAAATTAAAGTTCTGGTTCAACAAGTTCTTGGGAAGAGGAAACAGTTTGAAAATAAAATGCTACTCATTATTTGTGAGGCGGAGTGACTGTGTGCTGTCTCATGGTTTGGCACCGTGAAGTCTCTGCTCTGAGTGCGACAGTGTCACACGGTGTGTGCGGGCCCTCGGTTCAGGTAGGTCTTCATGGTGGCGATGAGCTCGCTCTCCTCCTCCAGCGTCAGGTCCAGATAATCCTCCTCGTGACGCGAGATGTCCTCCAACACCTCGTTCACCAACTCCACGTCCGCTGACAACAACAACAGAGAATTCCCACAGTTACTCCGGATCCGGCTCACCGGCAACTAAACCCACGCTCAGACTCAAACCAACAACGTGTCGGTGCGTCTCCTAATGTCTTCCTGTCTGCGGGGACACATTGGTTCCTACTGAAGACAGACATCGTTTAAGTTTCATATTTAATGTCTTCATGAAGTTAAAACTGATGTTTCTGTCTCATGTGTCTCCTGTCCTCCAGTTTCTGTCCAACAGAACATTTCCAGGCACTTTAACAAGGTAGACGCTGCTATCAGCTGCTGTGATCAATATCTGCAAACACTATTTAAAGCCCTGATGAAATAAAAACATTATTTATTACGCATTAATTCCCCACCTGTCCGCCAGCTGTGTCCTACCTGTGGAGCTGGAGGAGGTGCTGGGCTCCTCGGAGGAGGGGGAGGAGGAGGAGGAGGTGGAGGGCGGGGACGCAGACAGGAGCTCCGGGGAGAGGACGCCCTGGTTGTCCAGCAGCAGCTGAGTGGCTGATTGGACGTCTCCGCCGGTCAGCCTGAGAGCCGCTTCGGACACGCCCCTCTCGAAGCCCAGGTACAGCAGCTGCAGGAGGTCAAAGGTTAAAGCAGCTCAGGATATTCAACTGTTGGAATCACCCTGATTGGTTTAAGTTCACTGACAGAAACTGTAATCATACGTATTGATCTCTAACCACCTTTATACAATAATGATGGTGAGTTCTAATATCTTCATTTTCCAATCACATATCAATATATTGATCTGTAACTCCACACCGCTGGCCTATATCTCAGTTAGATTCACTCCTGTGAGGAAAACTCAACTAATGTAATGAGATGAAGTTTAAAGGGCTGAACACAGTGTGTACTCACAGAGCTTCAGTCTGATAAACAGGATTCACAGTACAGTGACTGATATTGAGTCTATGGTTGTCTGTATCCAAACAGCAGTTCACTCGTTGGTGTCATCGTCCAGTGTCAGTTCTTACTGTTGTTATTATTGAATATAAATCTATAATAACCAGAGACAGAGGGGTCCCCCCGCTCGTACCTGCTCCACCTTCTGCTCTCCGACCCCCTCTGTGTTGTTGTTGGTGACCAGAGCAGCTTGACTGGAGTCCAGGAGGATCTGAAGACAACACACAGCAAAGACACCTTTAACTCCACAGACCATCTCCATCATTCTTAAACCCAGTCCGAACCACGGAAGTCGTTATGGGCCTTAAAAAGAAATACTAATAATAATCAGAGAGTTTATTACAAGCTAAAGCAAAACAACTCATTCACTGTACGATATGAAAAATTAGAAACAAACGACACGTTAAAGACAGGAAGCGGACGCCGACCTCGTAAGCTTTGTCCACGTCTCCGTCAGCGTGGTGCAGCGCTCTGGCGGCGTCTCTCCTGGAGAATCCCAGCTCTGTGAGGGTGGAGATGACCTCCATCCTCCTGCTCCTCTTCCTCCTCTCCCTCTGCTTCAGCTCCTCTCGCTCCTGATCCACAAAGCCAACAACCTGACTCACATTCCCATTTCATCATTATAATCGTTATAAAATATATACAATCTACAAATAAAACCAGTAAAATTTAAATATATAAACACCTTCTTTTATCCGATCAACTCTCCAAAATGATAAATTCACTGTCACATAACAAAAAGAAACTGCAAACAAGGAAGTTTTCAGCTCTAATGTTTTCTACATGCAGACCCATTATTGTGATCTGACAGCTTTTATTGGTTTCCAGCTGTAAAGTAAGTTAAAGTAATGTTATCAGAAAACTAACCATGTAAAATAAATCCAACAAACAGGAAACAGTGAAATAAAAGAAGCTGAGACAGAAAGTTGAGTCTCTCCCTGAAGTCAAAGTCAAAATGGTCCGTTCCAGTTTACTGAAATCTGATAAAGGAACATAATAATGATCCGTTTTCTACTTTTAGACGATTCTAAAGTGAAACCGGTGTTTCTATGATCAATAGATGTACCTGTCTCTGGTTGCTGATGTGGATGGCGGCCTCCTGCAGGTCTCCCTGACACGCTCTGAGGCCGAGGCGAGCTTCTCTCTCAGTGAAACCCAGCGTCATCAGCTGAGCCATTTTCTCTGAGTCCAGAGACAGACGGCTGTACAGAGACTCCACCTGACACACACACACACACACACACTGAATACTGTTTAACAGTTTTACTGGTAGATAATTCAGAAATGCAACAGTTAAGCTAAGCTAAACTGTCAGTAGCTTCACATTAAGAGAGGATGTCAATGTGAACTCTCAGGTTTCCAACCACAAACAGACTTTACTTTGGACAGCTGGTGTCGGGCCTGAGCGTCATTTCCTTCGATGTAGGAGAGGAGACTCTGGAGGAGGTACAGCCGGAGAAACAACACCTCCTCTCTGCCTGTGTTACCCTGACAACACAATCAAACATATCTCGTGAGTTTAAGGCGCCTGAAGAAAACCTTTTATTCTGTTGTGTTACATTGTGAACAGAGAGAAACATCAACAGTTCAGATCAGCCCTGTTTCAGTTTGACCTGAGTTTGGGTCACTAAGAATGAGATTCTCCATAAGACTCCATACTATCAGAGTGGAGCTGCCCCCTGCTGGCTGTTAGAGACACTGCAGAGCAGAGACCTGTGAGTCCTCTGTGTGTGTGTCTCACCTTGATCATGCGCAGCCTCTGCTGCTGCTCTCCGTAACACTGCAGGAAACAGTCCTCGGCCCTCTGCAGGCGACTCTTCCCGTCGTCCAGACAGGACAGAGCCTCCAGAGCGCGGTAGCACCACACGATGTCCAGCTGCAGGACGGCGAAGTTATCCACCGAGCTGAGCAGCGCCGAGCCGCACTTACTGCGCACATTAACACACACACACACACACACACACACAGTTTACAGCTTTATACTGACATGAAATCTTTCATTAGCAACTGGAACACAAAGCGTCTTTGTATCTCTCTCAGCTCTGCTTGGTTGCTTTCACAGAACTCCTGTGAATAAAGACGGAGGAAGGTGCCCATGTTTATTTGTGCTTCAAAACGGAACCGGTTTTATTAATCTGAACGCTCAGGAAGCCCTGGCGGTGCTCTCCTCCTGGTAAAGGGTTAGGGTTAACCTGTGACGTCAGTACCTGAACTGCTGGTCGGCCTGCAGCAGGTGACACAGAGCGTTGTCAAACTGCTTCTTCTTCATCAGAGAACGACCCTTCTCGTGGAAACCCATGGCCAGGATCAGAGCCTGACAACACACACACACTCACAGTCAGTCAGTTTACGGCACTGTACACTGTGGAGGAATGGATGGAGGAAGTGACCGGATGAACTCTACCTTCTTCTCCTTGTGGGGGATCTTCAGCGGGTTTCCCTTCTGGTCAGCGATCTCCAGGAAAGGAGTGGTGTCTGGGTCTTCACTGCCGTCTGACAAACACAGAGTCAAGAGACAAAGCAGTTAATATTTGATTGATTGTGGAGCTCTCCTGTTTCTGTAGTGGAAAATAAACGTTAACAATGATCCATATCATATCAGCCTTTGAATCCAACTAAAAGCTCCCCTGCACCAAACTCCTTTAAGAAATATCACATTTGATAACAATTCCCTAACGTCCTTCGTAACATACACGTAACCTCTAGAACACCGAGCTAAAAGGCCGCCATACGTCTCCACAGTCTGATGTCAATACAGGATCATACTCATCCATAAAGATACAGTGTAACATGAGTCAATTATCATCCATAAACGATACAGTGTATTCTGATCCAATATCATCTCATAAATGATACAGTGTATACATGATCAATATGCATCCGTAAAGATACAGTGTATACCTGCATCAATATCATCC